GAAAATTGTTTATTAATAGGAAGAGGAAGAAACTTGATCTACACAAATGAAATATTTTCTATCATAAGGTGAAATTAATGGTTACTAGTCCCTCGTAACTGTAATATGGTCTTTAACTCTTCTTATTATTTCGACATAGGCTAAGGAGGATTCTGTCTCTAGTGGTTAACTATTATATTTGAGGAATTCATAGGAAAATAGAGAATACTGTACTGGTGTCACAATAGCATATGATCCTTATCACCTCCGAAGGACTCAAGATTTTTACGAATTATTTATGTTTATTGTCATTTATGTTTGTTGTTCCTTTAGGACCATTAAATTTTTTTCTTTCTTTTTGATCACTTCAAACTAGATTCATTGATTTAGTAAACTAAAACTTTTCACATGTTCGAAATATTTTCATACTATGTTTATTGTCTGTATACCTAGTATACTATGATCCTTAACATGCAAATTAAATTATTATACCTAAATTTATATCATTGCAAATTGCTCCTTGGATGATGTTTCATCATATTTTGATGAGCTTGTTGAAGTTTATTGCTTGCCTTCGGATAGTAGGATTATTCCCTTAAGCTTGATTTTAATCTCTTCGACTTGTTTGATGTATGTCGATGACCTAGCCCTTGGGGTTTATGTCAGTTTGATGCAGGAATCTTCAACTTAGCACATGGTGCTTCAATAGACTCGTTGACGATTAAGTTCCCTTAGTTCAACACTGTGTTTTATACGAACTGGGATAACTCCTTATGTACTATGTTATGTGCTTGTCGTACTTGTTCAAAGAGAGTTATTTGGTATGTTCTTTGTGCTTGATTAGACCTGTTGAAGGTGATGCGACATTGGTTTGATTTCTTCTTAAGTAAGGATTACCACTTTTGATGTTATCTTACTTCCTAGATCCGTTCAAAAAAAATCTCTTGGATCTGGATTACTTGGACCTATCAAGTTGGATGTGCTTGCGCTTTTGTTGTCATTAGATTCACCAAGGCCTTGATTTGTTGCGTGAAGAGAGAAGCTAGAAACTCAGTCACATGGGTTTGTTGAGTTTTGCCTTTGTCATGGTCCTAGATGTAAGCAATAGGTAGGCTTATGTTTTATCATCGTCAGACTGACCAACGGGGCTCTCCACTATGGCCTTAACTTGTTGAGTGAAGATAAAAGCCAGTGCTCAGCCACATTTTGGCTTGTTGAGTCCGACCACCATCAGAATCATAGACTTAATCAACAAAGTCTTATGCTTCTCCAACATAATTGGTTGAAGTTTGTAGATTCTGATAGATTTTCTCTCCCAACACTTGGAATTTAGGTGATTCTTAGTGACAAAGCTTTGACTTCTAGAATTGTTTTATACACCTTTTTTTGTAAATTATCGTCTTCTTTTTATTGATTATGGCTTTAGCATTGAATATACACTTGAGGATCTCGCCACAGAGCCCAACGCCACCTGAATTCTTGGGGATCTTGGCCATAGGCCCATAAGCACGATGTCAAACCTTGTAGCTAGGGATCTCGGCTTAGAACACGATTCAATCCAAGCATTAAAAAAATATCCCATATCTTGCAAGGGGAATTTCAACAATATAAAATGTCTTGAGGATCTCCGCATGAGCACGATGTCACCCATATGAAATGTGAAAGTCTCTTGTTTTGTAGAAGAATGTCTCTGGTAGTTAATAATATTTGGGGATCTTGGTTTGAGAATCTATTCAACCCAAATACATGAGAAGGCCCCTTTTTCTTGCCAAGGAAAGACTCTGTCATTAAATAATATTAAGTGGGGATCTCGGCCTGATGCATGATTCAACCTAAATATGAAAAAATGGCCCGTCCCGCAACGAGATTTTCAATAACATATGAATTTTGAGGATCTTGGCCTGAATCATGATGTTGACCTAAATAATATGAGAAGACTCCATGTCCTGGTGCTTGGGAATCTCGACCATGAACCTTATGTCAACCCACATAAAATTAGAGAGGCCCCCTTTCTGTTATAGGGAATTCCAACGACAACAATGTGTCTTCGAGAATCTCAGACCATAACATTATATCACCCAAGTGAAATGAGAAAGACTCAATTGCCTTGCAAAACAATATCTTTGGGAGTAACTTATAGTGTCTGGGGATCTCGGCTGGAGGTACAATTCAACCCAAATATATATGAAAAATGTCTGTCCTCATGTAGAGGGGATTTCAACAACATGAAGTATTTATGAGATATTGAAACGAAGCATGATGTCGCTCTGAATGTTTGGTTCTTTGTCCAACCAGGAAGTGATTTTGGCATTTAATAAATGTGTTTTGGGATCATAGCTTAGAGCATGATGTGAACTAAAATGTATGACAAAACCTTATGTCCTCAAAAGAAATTTTAGTGATATTTTTTTATCTTTAAAGATCACAACTTATAGCACAATTTCAACTCAAATAAATGAGAAGGCCTTCTGTCTTGCGAAGGAAAGCCTCTAGTTGTAAATGTTAAGCACGTAGTCAATCCAAATGCATGAGAAAACCCTCTGTTTTACAAAGGAAACCTCTGACAGTAAATAACAGTACTTGGGGTCTTGGCCTAAAGCACGTTGTCGACCCAAATGCATGAGAAACCCCTTTCTTACGAAGGAAACCCTCTGACGGTAAATAGCAGTACTTGGGGATTTTGACCCGAGATACAGTGTCTGATCAAATACATGAGAATGCCCTCTGTCTTGCGAAGGAAAGCCTGTTGGCAATAAATAATAATATTTGGGGATCTCGGCCTCAGCTATGATATCTACCCAAATATAAAAAAAATACTCCCACTCTTACAGGAGAATTTTATGTTTGGTTTTTATAAACATATTCTTGAATCACAAGAGAGTTTCTATAAAGATTTTCTAAAATCTTCTCAGACTTATGTTTTTCGTGAACGATTTGAAAGTCTTCTTCGTGTGCTTATTTAATAGCTTGTAAGCGAGGATGAAGAGCAATTGAAGTTGAGTTCCGCTAGCTTATATTCGATACCATCCCTTCTAGCGAGGAACATAGATCTATTGGTAATAGAGAGTGAGAAGTAACTGGATCGGACTCCCGCTAACTTGCATTTAATAACTTCTTTTCCTGCGGGAGATGTAAATCTTGTAATGGAACTTGAGGAGCAACTAAAGCTGTTTTCGTTCTCAACTTGTCGGAGAGTAAGAAATGACCAAAATCATTTCCTTCTACCAAAAAAAATGATAACCACTCTACTCGCGAGAATTGTAGTTAATATTCATTCTATTACTCTTAACTTATTGGAGAGTTAGAAATGACCAAAATCATATTCAACTAACAAAATTATGCTAAACCCTTCACCCGTGAGGTTGAAGCTTGTTGGTGATAGGATCCCTTAGCAGGCTTTCCAATGTGTCAACTGTCTTGAGAGTCATTAATAGAGACCTTCTTAAGACTTATTTTTGACAAATCTCACTGAGGGGATCTCTAGGAGTGCAACTTGGATGTCACACCCTTCCCTTTTCTGATCACTTCTTTCTCATGAATCTTCAATCTCTAGGTTTGCTTACCTTTCCATTGAGACTTTTCAGTAGCGGATTCTTAAATATGCAATCCAGGATCACACTTTGAAGCTCACCGCATGGGACTTGTCGATGTTAGTGTTGGGCTGCCACAATAGAGAGTAGTTTTCTAATAATGTCTATTAATCTCTATCATGATTGGCTTCTTGCATCCTTTTGTCATTAGACCCATTTTCTTTATAGTCTAACTACTAAAACTTCATGTGTCTCCTTACAAGTAACAAGGGGAAATCTTCTTCGGGATCCCTTGGCAAATTTTAACAAAGGAAGATCTTCAGGAGTGTAAACTGGATGCCATGCCAATTTATTTTCTGATTTCTTTAGTATGACTTCAGCCTCTATATCTATTTATCCTTCTATCGAGATCTTTGAGCGGTGGATTTATGGGAACACAATCCAGATGTGTCACACCCTGATATTTGTCATGTGGAGCTTGTTTAATTCATGATTCTAAAGCTTGTTAGTCATTTATTCTCTCATGCAATAGTTGTTGAACTTTCAGTTCAGTATTGTTTCTCCATTTTGGCCTTTAAAAGAGCTTTTCTCCAAGTGAGGGAGCTTTAGAATCATTCATCACTATTACAGATGACTTGGTAGGAAAAATAGCAGTCCACAAGCACCAATAAAATTTGTCTGATGATAATTTGCTTCATTATTGGGGCTTCCTTCGATGTGCAAGTTGATATGCATATTATGCAGATATTTTTGTAGACTGAATTCTCTTGGCATAGTCTTGCATAATTACAGTAGTGTCCCTAGCATCAGCGATAAAACCTCTAAATCATCAAGTTGGACGGTGACCCTTAGGTTGATTTTTAATCATCATGATAGATGGAAGATAGTAGATTCCTGATTGGAGATCTGTTTGTCTCAATCCCTATAAACTTTTATGTCTTATTTTTATTCATTTTTTTAGAACTTTTATTGACATTAAGCTCTCAAATTTCCTGATACTCATCGAGTTGAACTTGCTTGGGTTGATTTCGCGTTGCCATAGTTGGCAACAGATTTTTGATTGGAAACCAATTGGTTTCAATCATAATAAGCTTTCATATATTCTTTAACAATTTGAGGACCTCATTCACTCTAGCACAGAGTCTCAAGTTTCTTCTTGAGAACAATAAGAAATTGACATTATTAAGTTCAAATTTGAGTTTGTTTAATGTCACCGGCAGAGCTATTCTCTTGAACTTATTTTAGATTTTGAATTGATTGTGAGAATGTTTACTTCCGGGGTTAAAGTTTATTGGTCAATTCTTTGCTTGAATAGTTTCAATATTACTTTTTCTCAGATTTTTTTTGATGTACAAGCAGAAATGCACTATGCAGATGCTTCAGCACAGTAGTGCTAATAAGATGTCATGTCATTTTCTTTCTTCAAATTTTTTTCTTCATTGGGCTTTGACCTCCATATTTGTTTGCCCTCCTACCGAAACATTTCGGTAGTGGATTTCTGGACATATGATTCGAGTGTCACACCTCAATATTCACCAAGCGGGACTTGTCTGGATCGATATTGGACTATCACAGTAGATGATTGTCTTAACAAGCTCTCTGTTTGCCCCAATCACAGTAAGTCTTCCTTACCTTTCATTCATCAAATATCTCATCTTGGTAGCTTTTGGTAGCCCCAAAAAGATTATTGAATATCACCAATAGAGCTATTATATTTACCCATTTTAGATTTTTTTTTATAACTTATCTTGGACTATAATACCCACTTTTGGCTTCAAAGTTTATTGTATAATCGACTACTCAGGCAACAATTAGTGAACTTGTAGTTGATTGTTATGCATTCTTTTTTAATTTTTGAATAGCTTTACCCCCAATTGAGAAAAAAATGTTAACATTATTCCTCCTTTGTGTAAGTAGCTCAATGGACAGGCTAATAGTGCTTGCAAAGTTCTATAAATTCTCAATCTAATGAAGTTTCTCTTTGTAGTTGGAGCTTGTGAATATGTCTGTTGGTTCTTTAATGAAATGAGACATCCTGCCATTTTTATTGAATAAGTACAACAATGAGGGCTTCATTAGTGAAAATCACCAAACCATTGAACACATGTCTGTTAGTTGCCCATGTATAGTAGGATTCCCTTGGAGACTTGTCAACAATCAAGAGATTTACCATTGTGAGTCTTCCTCTTAAGCATTCATTCCTGAGAAATTTTTTTGATAACAGACATCCGAGGGTGCTAACCAAATGTCATGTTTTTATTTTTGTTTAAAACTATTTCTTCATGGGGCTTCGATCTCCATATCTATTTATCTTTCCATCGAGATCTTTTGGTGAAAGATTCTTGAACACGTGGTTAGGGTGTCATGCCCCGATATTCAACGTGTGGGACTTGCTTAGACTGATGTTGGGATATTAGATGGCTGTCTCTTTATAGGCTCTATATTAGCGGTGATCACAATCGGTCTTTCGTATTTCATCTTTAGAAGCTATTTCCCCTAAGCAATCCTTAGGATTCGGTGCACTCTATTAGACCAGGTTACATGTCTCTTATTTTCCTCAGAAGGAGTCTAATGTTGTCGATTCGAAAAAAAATACTTTATTTCACGAGTATTGCTTTCCCTCTTGATCCATTTTAAATTATCAAATTTGTTATGAATAAAAATACTCGCTTTTGGTTGTAGAGCTAGCCAAATTGTAGGTTGCTCCAACAGTAATTATTGAGTCATTTTATCAATATTTATTTTTTTTCTCTGTTTGAGAGACTTTCTTCAGATGTGGAAGCTTTAACTTTATGTCTGCTTGATACATTAAGCTTTATAGGTAGAGTGACAGGTTTGAGGTCAAGGATTACGAAGCTTTTCTATCTAGCAGCATTTCTTATCATGATTGAGGCATCATCAAGGGCCAATCTTTCAAATTTAGACCTCCCTTTTGAAGAGCCTTGCCAACAACACGTCGATAATTTTTTGATCCTTTCACAGGCTTGTGAGCATGACATGCATATATAATTGTAGAATGAGGCCTCGCGTGATGACTTCAAGCATGCATGCCATGGACAAGTATGAAAATAGACTTTCGGATTAAGATTCATGTGATCCTATGCTCACCAAACAAAATTTATCTTTCTATAGAGATCCTTAGCAATTGATTCTTAGATCAAAGTTTAAGGGTCATACCTTGATTCTCAGCTTATAGAGTATCATTTTGTTAGGACCTTTCAACAGTAGATTCTCAGACTAAGATCTATGGATGATGCTCTGATGCTTACCAGACAAAATTTATTAAAATTCTTGAGTAATTATAATAAATGAAAGTAATTTACATTTTTATTTATCTTTTATTTTTAAATCTGCTGCTATAGCAATTATGTGACTAGCCAAAGATGGAAAAAGAAATCTTCCCGAGTGGAGTCGTAAAAAATCTATGGGCTCTGAAAATTTGAAATGCCCCATCCTTTCTCAAAAAGAAATGTTTGCGGATGACATGAAGGAGTTTATCGTGAGGTTTGAGGCAAATATTCAGAAGGCGGATGAGATAGTAGATAAGTCACTAACCATTGATGTCACCCTCATTTTGGAAGGACTTTTAGATTCGAGGTTTGAGGACAACAAGACAAAGAGACGATGAACATGGCAAAAATTTTGAGATTGAAAATAATAATATTTTTTTCTCCTTTTTATTGTCTCACTGTCAGTTGAGAGTGAAAGAAAGAGAGAGAGAGAGGTGGTTGTTGTGCGCTGTGGAGGTCCTTGCCATACGTAAGTTCTTTAAGATATTTCTTCCAATATTCATGCTGCGAAGTTCATCATATGCAAAGTGATCCGAAAAACTCGAGATATTTTGCAGTGCATGAATGAACCCCCCCCCCCCCCACCATCCCAAGCGCCGGCCCCCGCTTCCA